AAGAAAGAAAGAAAGAAAGAAAGAAAGAAAGAAAAGAAAAGAAAGAGCTTTTTCCCACCACTTTAATCTAAAGTAGTTTTCCCTGTGGACTTCAACTTCCAGAATTCTGTGCTATGCTGGCTGGGGAATTCTGGGAGTTGAAGTCCACATGTCTTAAAGTTATCAAAGTTGAGAAACACAGCTGGAATATCTTAGTAAAAAGTTAATTTTAGGGGCCAATCAGATATCAAACCCTAATCTAGCCTTTTTTGATTTAATCCCACTCTGGGCTGGTGGAAAATTGGGGATTGCCATATGGGAGCTGGGCTGACCCCAACTCTCCAAGTAATATCTATATACATTGTCCTCTGAAGACACAACACACACACACACACACACAGTGTTGTCATAACCCAGCACGATTGTGTGAATCCATTCCTTGTGTGGGACCAGCCAACTGCCCATACCTGCTTGAGGTCCAGAACACACAGGCTTAAATCCAGGTGCCAGGCCAAATAAATCTAATTTTTTTTTGTGCATTTAGAATTAACCAATAGGAATGGTTTGATGGCCTAGAGGTGGAGGTCTCCTCTCCCAATCAGGAGGCTGTAAGTTCAAACCTAGCTAGAGGCAGATATTTCTCTCTCTCTCTCTCTCTCTCCCTCTCTCTCTCTCCCTCTCTCTCCACCTTGAGAATATATCGCTGAACAAAAAACTCCACCCTGGAGACAGGAAGGGCATCCGGCCAGTAAAACATTCAGCTCCGTTCAGTGGCCCAGACTCCACACCACAAGGGATTATGATGGGGTCGTTAAAAGAAGAAGATTGATAGATTTAGATTGAGAATTAACCCGTGGAAATGGGCATTAGCAACCAGGCAGGCAGAGGTTTCCAGCGGGGTCAACCCCCCCATTTTCTCTCTCTCTCTGTGACCAGATGCTGAAGCCCTTGGTGGAGAAACGGCGCCGGGACCGTATCAATCAGAATTTGGAGGAACTGCGTGTTCTTCTCCTGCAGAAAACTCAATGCCAGGTCAGCAAGTGACGCCCCCTAAAGCTTGACCCCACTCACCACCCCCCCAAAAAGTGTGATATAGGGACATCTCGGTTTGAGATCCAGTTTGGTCTAGTGGTGAAGGCCCCAGGCTACAAACCAGGAGATTGGGAGTTCTAGTTCATGCATTAGGCATGGAAGCTGGCTAGGTGACTTTGGGCCAATCGCCAGGAGATGGTGAGTTCTAGTCCTACCCTAGGTGTGAAAGCCAGCTGGGTGACTTTGGGCCGATCACCAGGAGATGGTGAGTTCTAGTCCCATCCTAGGTGTGAAAGCCAGCTGGGTGACTCTGGTTCCATCCCACCTCACAGGGTGGTTGTTGTGAGAAAAAAAAAAGGAGGAAAGAATATCAGGTATGTTTGCTGCTGTGAGTTATTTTTAAAAAAAAAACAATAAAAGCAGGATCTAAATACACTAAAGAATTAAATCTCCACTCAGATATAAGAGCCCAAATTAGTCTTGCGGTCTTCAAATTTGTTGAGTTGATTGAACCCCCTCCAACAACCTGGGCAGGGGGTTGGACTAGATGACCTGCAAGGTCCCTTCCAAATCTGATTATCTGTTATCTGTTGGTACATTGAAGGGCATGATCCGTCTATTTCTTTTACCTGCCAGCAGAGGGAGCTCCTGCTCTAAATGACCCAGCTCTTAAAGGGGTATCCCTAAAATGGCGGAATGGTCAGTGGCTCTATTGGTTATTTGCATGGGAAGGGAAGGCTGGCTGGGGAATTCTGGGAGTTGAAGTCCCACCCGTCTTAAAGGGGCCATGACTGGGGGGGGGGGGGGGGAGAATCACACATACAAACTTCCATTATTTCATCATCTCTTCCACCTCCCTCCGTTGGAAGGAAGCTCAGGTGAGCTATCTTCTATTCCGTATCTTCAAGGGGGATGCAGATACACTGCTCCTGGCTGGGGAGGATCCACTTAACAGGAAGCGTCAGGAGTTCCACGTTGCCCTTTCAGCCCTCTCTTCTCGGACCCCTTTCCTTCACAGACCCTGAAGAACCCCAAAGTGGAGAAGGCGGAGATCCTGGAGCTCACCGTGGAATACCTACAAGAGAGGAACAAGGCAGCAACTCCGCAGGGTAAGTAAAATTCACTCCCATGGCAGGTGGGAGGGAAGGAAAAAGCGGCTGGGAAGCTGAATGGTAGCAAGGGAAATTTTTTTTAAAAAGGAAGGAACAAATGCATGTGGTGAACTCTTGACAACTAGGGGTCAATACTCTAAATTTCCCTAAATTCTAAAAATGGACACGGAGCTTTTGAAAACAATCGGTCCTCAGTTTTTAGAATCTGTTTCATCGGCTTGGAGGAGAAAACAAGACTCTTGAGCTGTGAAATTTTAACATGGGGTGGACTTCAACTCCCAGAATTCCCCAGCCAGCATGCTTTAACATGGGGTGGACTTCAACTCCCAGAATTCCCCAGCC